ATGTTCTTTTCAGGTGTTGCGAAACAAGGGCAAAGTTGATCGGTGCGAATTCCGTGAACTGATCAAAAGGGCGGTTGCCAAGGTGTCGGAGAAGGCACTATTACACGCGGAAGAGAAGCACGATGCGTACGCTTCCATTCGATTTACTAATCCAGGCCAATAAGGCAGCGTATGTGGTACGTTTGCCTGCGTGATGAGTATTCTTGAATTTTAGAAGTTAGATGTTGATTGAGCTCCCCGTGTGTCGGCGCCTGATGTGAATGTTGATAAGGTGCCTACCTGTCTAATAACCTCCACCTCGATTGTAGGCTCCAGGAGACAGTTGGTCGTTGGTGTAGGGGACGGGGAGCATAGTCTTCGTGCCCGTGGTAGGCTCGAAGAGTGGTTGTACGCACCTCGTGTGGAGCGAATAACTATCGAACCACCGCCTTGTGTGCGATTGGTTCCCAAATACAGTGTGCTTGTGTTTCCCTGTGAAGGAGTGTGGGCCGGCTCCGTTGATGAAACGTGGCTTCCATCCACATACCTCCCAGTCTTATTCCTTCGCGTTTACACTGGATACGCGGTGTGTGGTTGGAGCTGTGTGTGGTGTAGCGCAAGCCACCCATGGTCCCTCTGTAGGCGCAGACGTCCTGTGGCTGTCATATGGAGGCCACAGTGACAGATGTACCGAGGGCATGTGCCGCATTTAGCAATCTGGAACATCGGGTGTCTATGATCCAATAGCTCACGGCTGCAACTAAGCTGACTGTATGCCAGTCGATTTGTTGCCGGTTCTCCACTACGGCAGCGAAAAAGCGACATGTGCTGTATGGAAATCGGATTTGTGAAGAGCATTCAAAAACAGTGCCTGCCTCCAATTCTTCCTATTTGTTGTTGGAAGACAGTCGTTGACACAGAAGTGCTGCACCGAAATGGCGTATGTGGAGTGGGCTGCACAATTCTGCTGCGACACCTAAGATGGCTCGGCAGTATGTATAAAACGAGGATTCCGAAACAGCTGACAAATGGCCAACTGCGTTCAGGGAACCGGAATGTGGGCGAACCGAAGGTACGTTACCAGTCGAAAACAGCCGCCTCGATCATACTGGCTCCCAGAGACGGAGATACGGGGTGCTCGAATGAAGTGAGGTTACAAGGTTCAAAAAATGGTCCTAGGTGTGGAGTTGACTATGGCCAACCCTCCGCGTTATGTGGACCTGGAGTATAAAAGGTTGGGGTAATCCCACATCCTCATTTTTGAAATGGTTATAAAAAAACCAAAGAACTAACAATATTCATAATCACACATGTCAGGAGAGCAATATCTTGAATGTAAGGTTACCGAAAGAACTTTGCTGAAAACACAATTGTAACTAGTATATTAGCATTTTATGGAAATTCTGATAAAATAGGAAAATGGGGCGATTCCACACCTTATGCTCTAGTCACGATTTTTCAAATGTCACAACCAAACAGGCACCTTATATTATGTCTCTCAGGAACTGAATTTCTCAAATATATTCATACTAGACACCTTTGAGGGCAAACACTCATTATCAGTGACAGATATGGAAAAATCGATATAATCTAAAGCTTCTAAACCACTTCTGCTTTTCCGCGAAATAATTTTTGAGTTGCGCATAAGAACACGATTGCTTATCTTTGTCTAAACCGTTTGTAGTGTTATTTAGCACATGCACTTCATTTAACGGATGTCTTTATGATTGAGTGATTTTTGCTGTCTGCGAAGACATCACGAAGCCGTTGACCATGTGAACTGGATGGTTTCTTTTTATCGAAATCACTTCGATACTTACGCTCCTAGTTATTTTTATGCAAACCGCTCCGTGGCCTTGTGAATTTTTCTTCCTTTGCTGCTCCATTCACTCTACACATTCCTGGGCAGTCGGACTTTCTCCATAATGTCTTTTAATTACTTTCCTCAGAGTTCTAGATGTGTTTTGTTTCAGGAATGACCATAGCCTGTTGAAAGAAAGGTGTCTAATAGAGTTGCTTTGATCGCACTGCTCCTAAGTATGGGATTCTTTTCTGGATGTGGAAAGTTGAGATAAAGCTGATTCCGTCGTCATGGCAGAACTGAACGGGCTGGCTGAATCTATTTATTGTCGTATGCCCACAGTTGTGTGGCTTGCGCCGTGCACTGTTGATGTTGTTTGGACGTTGTCAACATATTCTGCAGATTCATGCACAAAATATGGAATTTTGGAAGAGTCTAACGGTATGATGTCGAATTTGCTAAATTCTGATTCAATATTTCTTTTGCTCAGACAGTCACTTTCGCATAACTTCTTCAGAAGAATAAGAAATAGCTCTTTGGATACGGCTGTACTTAAGTTCTGTCTTCACTGGTGGTCCATAGACACCCACATCAAGTGTGGTTGGAGCAAGTGGGTTGAATTTGACGGCAGTTTCATAATTATAACACCATTTTGGATTGCTGCTCTAGTGACTTTAATATTCATATGTGAAGCATGTCCATTAACAATTAACAGAACAAATCTAACTTCTGGTAGAAGTGGGATGAAATGGTTTATAAACCAGTCACACTAAAACAAGCACCGTGCATCCAGCCTTTTCCAGAGATATTGTACCTAGCATTTTGCGTCGAAGAAACCCAGCTTTTTGGTCCCATAAAAGATAGATGGGGGAAGCATGGTCCCATCAGTCTGAGCACATCTTTACAGTGTGATAGAATTTCTCCCTGAGCCACCAATGAAAAGACAAAGGTTTTCACAAATCTCAATCACTTAGAGTCGATTGGAAAGCCACTCACATTCACGTTGTAAGGTCTTTCGGGCATATTCATAATGCCATTGATTGCAAAGGTTTCAAGAAGCAGCTGCAATCACTCTTCAAATGTCTGTTTATTTGCAGCCAACTGGACGTTTGATTTTTTAGCTACTCTGGAGTTCGGCATGTCAGATCTCTTTAAAAAATTGTACAATCAATCTCGACCAGTAACATTATTTTGTAAAGGAGCAGTCTTATCCTGACCAACAGAAGTAATGAAATCACCCACAATTTCCATCGCTTCTACGCATGTGAATCCGACCCCCCCACCACTGAGCAACAAGTTTTAATCAGCTAGCAACTTCTTCTTCTGCTTCAGTGAGAACTATTTTTCTACCAGCTCTCATAGTGCTGTATTTTTCTTTTACTTGGTCCAGATTTGTCCCCTTTTTCAAGTTGTACAACTTGGCAGCTTTTTTGTGCCCCATGATACCTTCCCTGTCTTGAGCAACGGCTTATTACATTGCAGCTGTGTTATATGCTGTCTTTTTACGTTTGTAGTTTCAAACAATGCTGAAACTCGAAAAGAGATCAATATTAGACCACTCACATCCAAAAAGCTCGGAAATAAACATGAGTTAAATGTACACCGTGATATGTGGAATTGACCCACAGGCTTTGAAGTTGGGGTGCATAATTTCCCCAACACGCTAGTAATTTGTCACTCACGATCGTAAATTCAGCTCATGAGACAAATAATTGAAACGTGAAAAATTATTAACACTATAACCATATTAATCTTTATTGCTCGACGTTTAGAAACACAATGAATTTTAAGACAGTTATAGACTTCAAAAAGGGTAGCATGTCTACTTACATGCAGGTGACTCTGCATTGCTCGTGTATTCTATATCTTTAGCTGAACACTTGTATATCGTACTGATCGTATGTCAACAGGAAGCTGGCAATCTGGTGTCATTAAAAGTGAATGGTTCCTGCATTGACCAAAATTACCTACCATTTACGTAAAAGTTATATAACTAGAAAAGGTGTGGAATTGACAGCGGTGCGGGAGTACACCAGCTTACTGTGCACAAGATAACAGCGTAAGAACGATGCTTCAACTGATTGGTTTCGAATCTGTTGACAATGACTGCACTCTTCACGACTAAGCGATTCCGGATATCGGTATCGCCCTCAGTGGAAACAGCTTGAAGCAATCTACTCAAACAGATAACAGTGAAGAGACGCATGTGTGCGGATCGACTTCAAACCTCTATCGGATTTAATAAGCATTGTCCGAAGACAAGATGTCTTTTCATCGCCTCGATTTATGCCGCTGCTGACTACAGTTCTAAAGACGATTTCTATCACTATATTTTGCCTGTTCTCCGTATGGCGTAATATACTAACATGGTAATTGTTGATAGTGACTTGAATGTCCAAGTTTGTGGCCTTTCAGATCCTGAACCACAATGTACTCGCAGGACCGCAAGATGATCGATGTGATATCTGCTGGAAGGTGTAGACAAGGAACCCCATGTTGCGGTAATGGGTTATGCTGCGAACACGGACCACCAACAGAAGATGGGCCACTTACTTCGACAGCCAATACAGACCTGCATTCATCACCGATACAGCATGTGGTCGGATCAAACCTTTAGGTAGACAACCGATGCTAGAGTAAAAGAGCTGAAAAAAGCGGTCGAATGAGATAATCGGGGTCGTGTACGCAGTGGTCCTGGATAGTAACGTCAGGACTGCCCACATTAGTGGACGGAGACTCAACGAAATAGCGCCAATAAGATTTTTGTTGCTGTTCCATCCAGTAAACCTGTAACTTCGTCATCTAATTATATCTCACTTTAATTTCTTGTTCCAACAACCATTAGCTTCTAGTGATTCACTTAGCTTAAAAGTTCTGGTGATCAGTTCGTTGTATCGTGTTCTTCTGTTCACATACCCTGTCGACTATTCAGGCATGGTGATGAGCTGTTGTAGGGGTATATAGCGTGCGTGCTTTTCAAAAGCAAGCGTGGAAAGAAGTCACAAGACATTTTCTCTAGTTGTGGCAACAGGATTCAAAGTAATTTGATTTATCACATTTCGGGGCACTGCTAAGCAGGCGTTTGAGCAACATCAAAACACTTGTAACAGGGGAATGTTAAGTCTGGTAATTTAACGTTCTGCGAGAGTGGCATAGAGGGGGGGGGGAGAACGTACGTTTGCATTAAAGTGTACGAAGTACCAGGAAACGAATGGCTTACTCGAGACTAGCCCGAAAGCGTGCTCAACCTGATCGATAGACACACCACCGCCAAGGTCGAGAAAGTTTGCAGGTTCACCTCCATGATGCTTGATCAGATCCATGGTAGCCATGGCTAGACCGGCTCCATTGACAATGCATCCAATGTTACCTTTGGATAACCCAATGTAATTTAACCCATGTTTGGTGGCCTCCGCTTCCAAAGCGACCGTACTGTGAGGACCAGCAGCGGCCACTTCGACTGCTTCGACTTCTGCGGCCATCTGGGAAACTTCAGGCTGACGAAAAACGGCATTCTGGTCGAAGCTGAGCTTAGCATCAAAACAAACAACGCGACCGTCCGGAGTTTCACCAAACGGATTAACTTCAATCTGAGGTGGATAAAAATAAACTGAGGGAAATGAGGATGTACCCAGAATAAACACTGGCAAAGTGTATGCATCCGATAGATGTAAAACTAGAGCAACGTATAAATACATGTCGGTGTGTCTCGTCCAAGTGAAAGAAGTGAAGGCGATTACATGGAGGAGGTATTAAAAAAAGCCAGTCGCCAAAAAATGATAGCCGACCTTCTGCGGAGTAAGAATGACGTAAAAAAGCGGTTTGCGAAGGCCATTATCATCAGTATTCTACGCGCTAGCAGGCGGTGAAAAGCAACCAGCCGTTGTGCCGAAAAGCAATTCAATTAGAGAACATCGAATGAGACAGAAAACAATCACAGAAGTGAAACAACAAAAATGTTAGAATGCTTTGGTTTATGCTATGGATTGACGTTGAGATCGTAGCTGGAGGAAGAGGCTAAGCGGGATGAAGTAAGATTAAAAAAAGAACACTAACGCCAGTGAGGTCGGTTCATTGCCATGTCAACAAGTATGCGTGATCAATTGTATTTACTGCCTTTCGGACATTGACCAGTAAGTCGAGAAGCTCCAACCAAGGTCACCTACGACGCGAGCTTCTTCGTTTCCCTTAATCAGGTCGTCGTAGGCATCCTCATCGCCTAATCCATCAAGACCCTAGTTACTTAAGCAATGCGCATCGCGAAGCTCGGTGTTGGCATTTGTAACACATGGCAAAATCATCGGAGCCTGGTGCGTAAATAAACTCCTCCGAATCAAGAAACTAAGAAATCCGAAACCCGGACGCGGTACATCAAACAACGCGCATAAATTGCTTCTATACATCAGTCGGTTAACGAGCGGAGCTCCATAGCAGAAAAAGTCTATAGCTGGGGGGCTGTTCCCTGTGAGTAAGACAATGAGTTCACGGCTATAGGCACGGAACCTGAAACAAACATCCTCTTTGGGAACAAGTAACCGGAAAGTATGATCCGGTCCAAGGATGCCATCGTCAGCGATTTCCCCTCGTTTTATCCCCTCACTAAATCTATCCTTTCGTGTTAAGATGAAGGAGGACAATATTGGATTGGCAACCAATGCCAATGATGTGCCCGAATCGCCATTCGAAATAAAGGTTCCAATACAAAAGAATCCAATTAGCGTTCGCACCCTGCCGGTTTGATAAACACACGCCGCTGATTATCGATGTATGAAGTGCGAACGAAGCGTGCATATAAGACAGTGCAATACGTCATAGTAGAACTGATGACGACATTGTTTATGTGAAGAGTAGAGGGTTCGAAGTATCCACATCGTCGGTATTAACCGCAGTGGGAATACTGAAGGTAATCTACTCAAATAGATCCAACCTAATAGCAGTGTGGATGTGATCCTACTTCGAGCATTCACTAACGAAAGTTCTGGTACACTTATGTTGTGTCCATACGTAACGGTTGGTTTTTCACAACGGATCCCAAGGCGGATATCCTCCCACACGTCCGGAAAAAAAACAGTAGACAGCCGTCCCGCTCTCTGTCCCGTCAGTGATTGAACAGTTATACGCTTTAATCGACTATCGATCGTATGGCGAAGAAAAAGAGTACGGTGATTGTTGCTTGTGACGTGAAGCTTCAAGTGGGTAGTTTATATGGCGCCTGGGAGGTTGTATCGGTAGCGATGCATTCCCGACAGACAAAGGCTGCCCTTTACTTCAATCAGACGCCGAATACATCGAATATAAAGTAGCCTCACTTTTTGATAAAACATTTGCATTGCCCACCGAAGGAAACAATGTTACTTGGTACAAACTGGCCATGCTGTTATCGGCAAAACATGGCGCACGTCAGTGAAAGATTGCTGATCGGTCTGGACCATAGAAATGGATTTTGATCATGTCATAACGCGCGTCTGCATGGCGATCGTCAGCTCGATTTCAACGAAGCACACAAATTCGAGCATAAACAGTAATCAGACTTATCATCTGTCACAGATAAACGAAAGTATGAACCGCAGAAAGGCTGCAGTCGTTTCCGTTATACCGGAGCTAAATGTCACTAACTTCGGGGCGTCTGAAGTGTGGACAGACTGGGTGAACTAGTTATCCAATCAAAGCACGTACGCCAGTAACGATGGATGCCCAAGTTCAGATTGGCTGGTGACAAACTGTTAGGCACGGTTCCAAATCATCCTGAGCATTGCCCAGGAAAACCCTCGGTTAAGTGGACAGCAGATGAGAAAATTTGAAAAGCGTTCAATTAGCGAGGGTATGTAATTGCATTCTTAAGTGGTGTGCGGTTTAAAAGGATAAAGTGTGGTCCAAGAATCGAAACGCACTGGATGTAATAACCACTACCTGAAGCACTAGAATAAACACAGCAGGGTAAATGGGAAGCGTAAGCAAACACATATTTTCGAGAGTTCATCTCCTGGCCTATACAATTAGACGCAAATGAAGAAGTGTCGGCAGACAATAACAGCCGTTACCATGGAGGGAGTTAATTGGATGCAGACAGTGACAACCAGTTAGGTTACGAGAACTAACTGCAGAGGTCATCATACGTTTGAGCCCAAACCCTTGTGAGTCAACATGGTCCATACAGGTAGCAAATAGAGCTGTCTGGACATCAAAATCCTCTGTTATCCATTCTACTTAGTTTGTCCATCAACCAAATCAATTCGGCCGACAGTTACCTGCGCGCAAAGGCGTGCAGCGGTTATCCCAATGGGATATCGGATGCATGGACACAGCAACCTCAACGCGTATATGGACCACAGAGCGTAAGGGAATCACTTCAACTCGGACTTGATCGCGTGTGAGTTGTCACATGGGCGGTGACAAATTACATGACGAGGGGATGGGTGCAGTAAGTTGTTAATGTCCGAAGTCACCGACGGCGCGCTAAGATGAAAGTGGATCGAGGTAAGATAATATATTTGGGTGTGATCGATAGCACCGTCGTAGAAGAGCCAGTTGTGGAAAATCGCTACTGGCCACAAGCAATCTGACACGGCCGACAGTCGATGTTTTCCCAGATGCTAGTCCGTACGAGCTATCGCATGCCATGGAGATGGCGTGCGCAGCGCAACAGACACAATACGAGTGGCGTGTTGAAGCGTGGAGGGTCACAGTTTACTGTGGCCAAATCGCTAAACCACATGTGCGCCGGTGGACTTCGACACATTTAATGACGTGATGACAGCTACGCACGAAGCTTTCGCATCTCATGAGATTGCGATTTAACAATCTGTGAACAAAGACTGTAATGTAGCTGATAATTTGGTGATCCTAATGCTTGTTCCATACCTAGCACGCAATGCGGTTCGAGGTAACTGGTGATAGGTACACTGAGTAATGAGTTAGTAGGGGCAATGAAGTGAATGCATAAGGGCTGTGAAATGGTAGGGTGTGAATCAAGGTTAAACGTATATCAATGCAGCGGTGATATCAAGATGTAATAAGGGTAGAAGACTAGGGATGCAAGACAAATCCTATAATCGGATGTTTACATAGAGAGTAGCTTATGGGAGCGTTGTACGCTGTCACGCGGTTCCTCGGGAAGCGGATCGGGAAATGACTTACAGGTGAAGACAACGGTGAATAAGCTTCGTTTGATTCGCAAGTGAGATTAATAAGCAGTTGCGGACAACTGGCGCAGCGTCTCAGAGCGTGTGAAGTTTCAGGCTGGACATCTGGTACTCCATCAAATACTACTGGGTTTGTGTTGATCAGGTTAGAGCCTACCGGCCTACGCGTTTAGGTCCCAAGAAAGCACCATGATATCCCTGCAGCGCATTTCACAGAGTTAACGGCAGAACTCATCCTTAGCTGCGTCCGATCGGAAATCGGTGGGAGCATATGCCGCTACGAGAAAGAAACAGCGTTTGTCACAAAAGGACAACCATACGGATTTATAGTCGAATTGCGCAGTTGGCTAATAAGTGAAATCCAAACAAGTAACGCTGCTTCTGCGAGCGCACCAAACATAACTGCTAGACCGGCCTGATCTAACACTTCTTCAGCTGCGTCTCCCGATAACTTAATCGTGAAATTGTCCTGTAAGCGATCCAAGGATTGTGTTGATTCATGTACATGTTGTGTGGGCATAGAGCCTTCGGATTACCTGGGTCGAGGAAGAAGGTTAGGAACTCCATCCGGAGCCTTAGGTTGTAGAGACCTGACCCACAAAGCAGCGGGGCGACTAACGTATGTTGCGAACCATCGGGAGCCGGAAAGACAACCATTGTGTATCAACAAACTAGTCAGGGAGCCCAAACAACCTGAGTATATCGGCATATGAGGCAGGAAACGTCCAAACCGTTGTGGAGTACGAAAATCATTGACAGCCAGGTGGCCCATACGCCTTCTTAGTGTTCGATGGCTATCAACATAAAAGCGGATGGACATCGAAAGTGTCTTGCCATCCTCCGTTGGGGTTTCAATTCCGGTTGCACAGTGGGTGGTCAGTCGCTCAATAGCCGGTTACCATTGCTTCGTTACAGTGCTGCATGATTTGTTGTGGAATTTAATGGAGAACCACGTGGTCAGTCTGGAACTTCCCACGTTCCGAGACGTTACGCTGATTGTCCGCAACTGCTTATTAATCTTAGCTGAGAATAAGCGAAGCTCATGCAGTTGTCTTCGCTTGGAACGCATTTCCTGATCCGCTGCCTGAGGAAGCGCGTGACAGCGTACAACGATCCCGTAAGGTGCTCTCTATATACACACTACATTCCCAGCTTCGTCTTGCATCACTAGTCCTCCATCTTTAGTACAACAGTGTATCAGCGCTGCATTGATATACGCTTAACCGAGGTTCTGATTACTAATACATCCAAGAAAGATAGTTAGCTTTCGTTCTCCAGTTGCATTATAAATTGGACGTCTTCCATGGCGCTGTTCAATAGCTGCTGTGCGACTGTTACTTGGCTGTGTTTGATTATCACAACCAACAGCAACTCGAGCGACGAGTTCAGCCGCGGGACGCAAATCGAAGCTGTCACATCCAAAAATCAACTGCATGTGGATCACGGAT